CAAGGTTGGTCAATCCATTCACCGTTATCATTTTTCAGAACCTCAATTCTCCTTCTCATTTTTTTAGCCAGGGTAGAAAGATGGAAAAATTTGGTGTTTCTCTCACCCTGGATGATCCAGTTAGCACGAGATTTCTGGAACCACAATAACTCTTCCTGGTAAAGGATTTTATTATATTGTTCAACAAACTCCAATTCAAGGGTATGCAAATTGTGTGAATAAACATTGGCTTGAGATTTCTGTATACATTCAATTCTCCCAAGAAGCCATCTTTTTTTTCGGAAAATATTTTCAAAAACTTCTTTATTCCAAACATTGGCCTCTTTGGAAAGAGCATTAAGTCTACTAGGCAGAGAGGGATTAGGTTTGGACCAACTATTCTCAACCACAGATTTAAAGTCATAATGGAAAATCCAGGCAGCAAGAAATTTAAAAGGTTTACAAGTGGGGTTAAAGGGGGACATACCTTGAGTGAAAACCATCATTGAAGAATGGTCTGAATCGGTACGAGGCAGATTACGAACAGAACCTTCAGGGAAGCTAGTTCGCCACTCTGTATTGCACGTGGCTCTGTCTAGTCTGACCATGGTGTTAGCCCAACTTTTTCGGTTATTAGATCAAGTCAATCTAGGCCCTGAGCATCCCAAGTCCATAAGATTGCAGTGGTGCATTTTGTTATTGAACTTCTTACTCCTTCTTTGGTCTTGGCTCTGATTGAGATGATGGTTTCCGTTGAAACTTCTTTTTTCTTGAGTGGTTGATAAATCGTTAAAATCTCCAACAACAAGCCACAACTCTGTCATGTTACGCGAAAGAACTTCTAGGTGCTCCCAAAATTCATCCCACTTACAGTGGTTTGGGCTTGCATACACTGCTGAAAGTAGCCAGTCTGGGAAGTCTTGCCTAGAAATTGTAGCTGTAATCAACTGGGAGCTGGCCTCCACAACTCGAACAGTGACCACATTTGGATTCCGAAGCATCCAAATGCCTCCACTTCGCCCAGTTGGATCCACATGGGCAGATGCTGTGAAGCCAATGCAGTTAAAAAGCATCCCCATAGACTTAAACTCTACTTTAGTCTTCATAAGAATGAGTATATCTGGCTTGTGAATTTGAACTAGTTTTCTCATTGTTCTTTTGAGCCTCTGGTTACCGGCTCCCCTGCAATTCCAGATTAACATATCCATGGAAGGGATAAAAAGGTTGGGTAATGGATCCTGGTCATTAAGAGCTAGATAACCCTTTGTAGCCTTGTGGTTGGCTTCCATTGATTTCAAGGGAGTTATCGAAATGTAGTGCCAATCCTGGCCCACTTCCACTTGTCTCCATGGTTGTATCCTTACTTTGATTTTTTCGTTCCACCATTCTGAGGCGATGAGGTGAAACACTTCTTTCTCGGGTGTTAGAACCACCAGAACTCTGTGTTAGACTTATTTATTTTGATGATTTATTTAATTATGTTTTTATTTTATTTGGAAGAGAAAAATAGAATCAAAATTTATTTTGATGATTTATTTGAAAGAGAAAAATAGAATCAACATTTATTTTGATGATTTTATGTTTTAATAAAATCAAAATTTATTTTGTCCCATTATTTATCACCTAAACCTTTATCCTAAATGTTGTTAGAATGTATTTAATATTTGATTAAATCAGGAGTTCAAACAGCCCAAAACAAAGGTTCAAACAACCCAGCACAGCAGCAGGCCAAAAGGTTCAAAAGGTTCAAGTAGAAGATATTCAAATTTATAATGATGGAGTGGAAGATATTCAAATTAGTAATGATGGAGTACAACGGCTATAAACGGCTATAAATTCAAATGAATACAACGGCTATAAACGGCTATAAGTTTCATTATATACACCAAAGCTTCTAATGTAAACAAGTTACAAAAAATCAGAAAATATTCTTTGATCTAGAATTACTCACGTCTATTCTTTGAAAAATTTTCTGAGAAGTGTTCTTCAATTTTTGTTTACATCCTCTTTCAGAAATTATACACTGAGACGCATAGTTTTAAGCCCATCTTTCCTGTGTAAGATTTATAAAAAAATCAAAGTTTCATTTTATATATCTATCTTTGAGAGATAATTCTTGTAACTTTCTGTGAAAGCAAAAACACCTTCTTTTCAACTTTGTAAGAGTGTAGTACACTCAGTGTTCTTGACTTAGAAAGTCTGTGTAAAGTCCGTGAAGGATTGCTCCATTTGTAAAGAGGTTGCTAGCACCCCCGTGAAGCTAGAGCATAGTGGAAAATCTCAAGTGAAGCTTGAGGAGTGGACATAGGATGAGTTGAAGCTGAACCACTATAAATTTGTTTGCCTCTCTCTCCCTTATTTTTTTATTTTATTTAAATTATTGTAGCTATATTTCACATTTTCACTGTGCTAAAATCATTAACTGACATAGTTGTTAGAACAATTGTTTTAATTATTTTTATTTCATTAACTATATTTATCTATTGTGCTAGTCATAATTTTTATTAGGGTATTATTAATTTTTAATTGTAAAATCTAATACACCCCCCTCTTAGGTTGTCTTTTGGGTAACAATTGGTATCAGAGCCTAGACTCTTGTTTTAGATTTAACCATCTAGGAGTTTCGATCTATGGCAACCTTAGCTGAAGGACAAGCCATAAATAGGCCACCATTGTCTATAGTTATTGGAAGGATAAGATGACCCTATACCTATAAGCCACTGATTATGCCATGTGGATTATTGTCACCAAAGGTCCAAAAATTCTTACCAAATTAGTAGACAATATTAGTGTGCCTAAAACTGAAGATGAATATGATGAGAGAGATCATAAATTATTGCAAGCCAATGCTAAAGTGAAACTCACCCTCGTTTGTGGATTAGACTCTAAGGAGTATAATAGAATTTCAAGTTGTGATTCGGCAAAAGAAATTTGGGATAAACTAGAGGTAACGTATGAATGTACAAACCAAGTGAAAGAATCTCGTATTGATATACTTATTCATAGTTATGAATTGTTTAAAATGAGCTCTGATGAATCTATTTCAAGGATGTTTACTAGATTTACTGAAATTGTAAACTCTTTGAAATCTCTTGGCAAAATTTATACTAACAGTGAGTTGGTGAGAAAAATTCTTAGGTGTTTACCAAAGAATTAGGAAGCAAAGGTCACCGCCATTATAGAAGCCAAAGATCTCTCCACACTTGGATTGGATGAGCTTATGGGTTTTCTTATGACTCATGAGATTACCATGAAAGGACATGAGGATGTTGAAAACAAAAAGAAAAGTGGAATTGCATTCAAAGCCTCATCAAATGAAAAAGTACATGAAAATCCCAGTGAGGATGAAAGCTATGCCATGTTTAGTAGAAATCTCAAAAAGTACTTCAAGAAAAGTAATTGTGGAGGAAGAAAACCTTTCAAAAAGGAGTACAACAAAGATAACAAGAAAGAACCTATTATTTGCTATGAGTGCAAAAATCTTGGACATATGAAGATGGATCGTCCAAAATTGAAAAACCATGGAAAAGACTACAAAAGAAACAAGAAAACCATGGTAGCAGCTTGGGGAGTAAGTGAAGATGAAAGCTCAAGTGATGAAATTGAAAATGAAGTAGCCAATTTGTGTCTCATGACTCTTGAAGATGAAGACTCTACTCAAGATGAGGTAACTACTCTTTATGAAAAACTTGAAAGTGCATTCTATGAACTACAAGATGAATTTAGAAAAGTTTGTGCCAAAAATAATGTGTTAAAAAAATCTGTTGTATCTTTATCTAGTAATGTAGAAGAATTAAAGAAAGAAAAAATTATTTTGAAAAATAATTTTGACACCATCTCTAATGAGAAAACTGCTTTAAAAAACAATGTTGATGATTTAACAAAAACACTTGAAAATGTTATAAGAGGTAGAAATAATCTCAACATGCTTCTTGGAAATCAAAGATGTGTTTTCGATAAAGCAGGCATTGGATATGACCCTATTAAGAAACAAAAGAATCTTAATACAATTTTTGAAAAGGCACCTCTCATGACTCACCCTTATATTACTTGTCATCATTGTAGAAAGAAAGACCATTATATATCTTCTTGTCCATTCAAAAATAATATAAACATGGGAATTAAAAAGATTTGGATTGTTAAGAGAACTAACAAAACTAACCAAGAAGGACTCAAGAAACTATGGGTACCAAAAACCAACACTTGATTGTTATCTTGTAGGTTTGTTTAAAGTCCAAAGCTAAAGAAGGAAAGTGGTATCTTGATAGTAGATGTTCCAGACACATGACCAGAGATAAATCATTCTTTACTAAACTATCATCAAAAGATGGAGGATTTGTTACTTTTGGAGACAACAAGAAAGAAAAAATCATCGGTATTGGTAGCATCGGTATTTCTCCTAACCCTTCTATTAAAAATGTTTTACTTGTTGATGGACTTAAGCATAACATACTTAGTATTAGTCAATTATGTGATAAAGGTAATCGAGTTATTTTTGATAAATCACATTGCACAATTGAAAGCACAAATGATCATAAAGCTTTATTTGTTGGTAATCTTCATGATCATGTTTATGTTTTTCATTTTAATGATCTCCATGCTAGTGATGTTAAATGTTTATATGTTAAAAATGAAAATAGTTGGTTATGGCATAGAAGACTTGGTCATGCTTATATGGATTTAATTGCTAAACTTTTGATAAAAGATTTGATCATTGGACTTTCAAAAATTAAATTTAAAAAAGATCATCTTTATAGTGCTTGTCAACAAGGAAAACAAACTAAAACATCATTTAAATCAAAATCTCATATTTCCACAACTAGACCTTTACAACTATTATATATGGATTTATTTGGTCCCTCAAAGACATCTAGTCTAGGAAATAATGATAATTTTCCAAGAGAATGAAAGTTTGTTAATAATTACCCTAAGGATTTAATCCTTGAAACTCGCTCTTCACTTAGAAACATTTGTAGTAACTTGGCTTTTCTCTCACAAATTGAGCCTAAAAACTTTCAAGAAGTCGAATTCAATGAACATTGAATGATAGCTATGCATGAAGAGCTTAACCAATTTAAGAGAAACAAAGTGTGGGAACTTGTGCCAAAACCTAAAGATCATACCATTATTGGCCAAATGGATCTTTCGAAACAAGCTTGATGAATCCGGCACAATTATAAGAAATAAGGATAGACTTGTTGCACAAGGATACAATCAACAAGAAGGTATTGATTTCGATGAAACCTTTGCTTCGGTTGCTAGATTAGAAGTCATTCGCATGTTACTTGTATTTGCATGTTTTAGAGATTTCAAACTTTATCAAATGGATGTAAAAAATGCATTTCTTAGTGTTTTTATAAATGAGGAAGTTTATGTTAAACAACCCCCAAGTTTTGAAGATCATACTTTTCCAAATCATGTTTTTAAACTATCAAAAGCTTTATATGGTTTGAAACAAACACCTCGTGTATGGTATGAACGATTAAGTAAATTTTTGATTGAAAATAATTTTTCTAGAGGAACGATTGACACAACACTTTTTGTTAAAACTAAAAATGATGATTTACTTATTGTGCAAATATATGTGGATGACATTATATTTGGTTCTACTAATGAAACCTTGTGTAAGAAATTTGCTAAGTGTATATAAGTTGAGTTTGAGATGAGCATGATGGGAAAGCTAAATTATTTCTTTGGGCTTCAAATCAAACAATGTAAGGAAGGAATTTTTATCAACCAAGCTAAGTACACAAAAGAACTACTCAAAAAGTTTGGTATGTATGACTCAAAAAATAGTTGGAACACCTATGAGCACATCCATTAAGCTAGAAAAGAATGAAAAAGGTAAGTCCATTGATCAAACAAAATATCGAGGTATGATCGGCTCACTTCTTTATTTAACTGCAAGTAGACCCAATATTATGTTTAGTGTTTGCATGTGTGCTAGATATCAATCAAATCCTAAGGAATCACACACTACAACAAGTTGGGTCTTGAATGACGAAATTTTTTTATCTCCAAAGAGCTAATTTCGTCACTATAGATATTTGTGAGGAAATATTTTCGTCACCGGCTTTATCATTGAATGTTTGTCACTAAAAACCACCGTAACGAAAAATAATTTCGTCACCAATGAAATTACTTCAGTGACGAAATTTTTTGTCACCAATAAAACAATATTTTGTCGCCAAAAATTCTCATTTTCGTCACCAAATAATTATTCAGTACCATAGTTATAACTTTAGTTGACGAATTAATTTGTCACACATGTTAATCATTGATGAGGAAATAATTTCGTCACAGTAAGATGTAAAGTTGACGAAATCTTTCGTCTCCAAAAGTCATACATGGGTGACGAAATATATTTCGTCGCAAATATATATATACGTGACGAAATTTTTGGTCACCAAACATCAAAATTAATGAAAACTTTCATATATAAGTTGCAATAAATTTTGTCATAAAAAATATTTATTAGCGACGAATAATCATTTTGTCATAATAACAAATACAAATGACGAAACAAATTCGTCACTAAACTTGTTCCATATTTTATATTTCAATTTAAATTATTATTTCACAAATATCCTTCCTCATATCCCAATAGCCTTTTAATTGTACTAAGAAATCCACTAGCTATTATACACCTCTACAAAAAAATTCACTTAACAATTTATATTATAAATCAAATATATCCATCAAACAACTTTAATAATAATCCATTAAGTATAACAAAAAAACCATCAAAGCAAATCCCAAAATGAACTAACGTGGAGTCCATAAAAAAAATCAACACTCAATCTTGATTTGCAACTACAACTAAGTATCAGTTCAGGAAAAAAAAATAATTCAACACTTGATCTTGATTTGCAAGTATGCTTCCAAACGTCATCAAAAACCAATCAGCAAAGAAAATAAACGAGAAAAACATTAACATATTATCAATTACATTGTATAGACCTCTCTATCAATGTCAATACAAATTGTGTACACAATGAGTCTAGCTTAACAGCCAGAAGTTCCTTTGTACATGGCAAGCTCTTATTAATCACATCACTAACTTAGAGCAACTCCAACACTACCTAGCAAAAATACACAAAAAAATAAACACATGGTTTTGTCTCTACTTTGGTTAGTGTATATTTTAACAAGGGTCATGCTAAGATGAACAAGCCATTTATGCAAGTTTCTAATTGATTTTGGGAGAAACAATTAGGAAATTAGCTCTTTACTTCTTTTTCTTTTTTTATTTTATTTATTGATAATGCATCACCATACTACCCGATGTTTGGAAGGGTAATAATATTTTTCAGTTTTCATCATGATGCTCAACTTGATTCAATAGAATAAATGCTTGACAATTTAGCATTTCTGAAGTGAATGAGGATAACATCTAAGTATTCGTTGTCATCATTATCAAATGTGTTAACTACTCTTTCATGTCTCATAAAAGTTTTGAAAGATGAATCTAAATGTTTAGTAAAATATATTAAGGACGGTTAAATATCCACCAAAACCCAATATTTCAACCCATAAAAGGAAACAAAAGAAGTGAAATTAAAGTTTCTTCAAGTAAATAACTCCAACTTTTCAAATATTATGCACAAGCCTTGAACATTACAGAACGTAAAATGATGCCAGATATGGTAACTAACCATTGCCAATAATATCTCCTGAAAAAACCTACTCCCCTCCACCTTTGACATGGAAGCCATATCTCACACAAAGCTGTGACAATGTATCCAATGGATATCCTCTAAATTGAATGAAAAGATGCAGAAGTTCATTATTCCTAATGAAGAAAGCAGGCTTGCAATAGAGAAACACTTCCCTCAACTATTATTTGTACCACACATTCACACTGGTAAATAGGTTTATTATGCTTATGACCTGGGTGGTTATCACTGTTTTGACAATATTGCCAAAGTTCAATGAAATTCCTGGCAATTTAGAAATATGACGGTCATGTCAAAAATTGAACCGGTAAATTTAATAGCCTATGATTAAGGGATCTTATATTGAATTTGAAGGTGAATTTTGAATGTTTAACATGCTAAAAGATCCATTTTTGGTGAAACCCATGCATATTAACATGTATTGATTAACTCTAAATAATCCCTTTGTTTTCAAAGAGAATGAAGTGATCTCCATGAATCAATGTACAACTGGGTAGTCATTTGTCGAATGCACATAAAAAAATAGAGGTGGAGTTAGGGATTTTACTTTTTTGACAAGAGTTATCCTTGGCACTAAAAAAAAAAGTGCACGTGTAAAAAGAATTTTCAAGACAAACAATAAAAAGAAAAAACTGAAAGCTGAAAGCATGAAAAAGACCTGTAAAATGCCCATCCAACGCATTCCTTCAATGTCAACACCATATGTCAAAGATGTTGTTCCATGCAGCTAACCACCTGAAACGAAAGAACACAAGTTCTGAAATTCTACAACTATACCTGGAAATCGTAAGGTCAAATTTATGTAACAGAAATGATATGAGATGACAGTAACATAATATAGTTCAAACTGTAAGGCAACAACAAGACCACAGACCAAGAAAATGTGTTAAACCAACAAGGGAAATTGGCCGCACACTCTCATATCTTGTCCTTTATTTATTTTCAAAAGTGAAATTTGCAGCAATTATACTTCCATCATTCATAGTAAATGAATGTTCTACATAAAACATAATGTCAATTGATTCAGGAGAACACTGACCCGAAACAGTTGCTTAGGGTTGAAGACACTAACTACATAGCTTAAGAAGAGGATGACTAGTAAGCTTGCAATTTTGTTGGGGCAATAGTAGTATCTTTAGCTTGAAAAATTTATTAACCTGGGTTACCATATTATTGTAGCATCCAACTGATAAGCCTCACACATTGCATAATTAAGAGCATCATACAACACCACCTAGGAAGGTAACATAGTTACCAGTGAAATATGTCTCTTTGCTTCATTAAAAGCCCATTATCATATCTAAGTATAAAAAATAAGTAATTATAACCACAGAAAACAGTTTTAAGAGCCCAGTTTTAAGAAAGCAACACTTAGTGCTATGCGCCCAAATAGTAAATTGAAAGTCTAACATGCTTTTAGAAAGCAGAGAGGAATCTGGCACATTTTGCAGTTGTTCTTTCAATCGTCCTCTGTTGGTCAAATATAAAACTACTCTTCAGTATATCATTTAAAACAACTACAAGAAGATAAAAATAACTCTGTATTCGTATAAATTAATTGAGGTATTAATTAAATAAAAGAAAAGAGATGTACATTCTGCTAGCTGCGATTGCCGCTGATAAACATTGGAACAAAACTAATAACAAAGCGGAGCTCCTGCAGCACTGACAACTATGGTAGAATTTGTGCAAAAAGTTGACCTTAAGTAAATTGAATTTCATATTATTACACTAAAACATGAATAGTTTAAGAAAAAGAAAAGCCTCGCTAGCTATTTATGCAAACAAAAACCAACTCAGAGAAGCATTTAACATTAAAGATTTTTAAATAAGTTCTTATGCTTATAAAACATGTAATATGATTAGCAGGCGAAATGACCATCAATACTTTACTGAGCTCGAAAGAAAAAACATTTCTCGGGGCCACTTTTCTAGTAAGATATAATACCCACTACACTGCACTCCAGAGTTGTTAACCATGACAATAGAGAAGAATCTGAAAAATGTAGACATCCAATCTAAGAAGCAAGCATATCTCATCACACTGTGACTGAACAACTAGCACATACACAAGAATGAGATGCCTAGCAAGGCAAGAAACAGCTTTTTAAATCAATTTCTAGACTCACCAAAAAGAGAGGATATCACACAAGCAACGAGCGAGAAAGTGCTGAAGTGAAGTACCAATAAAATGGGATGTGTCTAGGGAGTAAATATTGAGGAACAAATAAAATATGAATTTCACAAGATACTCTAGTTATGTCAAGGGTGTATTTTGACTAGAGTTTTGAGGAATTTATGACATAAAAAGTATAATAGAAATCTGCACCATTCAAGAATCAAAAGATCAAATAGATTAAGAAATAAAATATAGAGGTGCGTATTACAACAAGATCAAACCCAAGCCAAACACCACAAATAAAAACAACCAACGGCTATCAGCAGCCACACCCAGAAACAGAGTATCACAGCCATCTACAATACTTGTGTTTACTCTTTGCTGTTGAAAATGAATAAATAAATAAACGATAATGACTAGTGCTGTTTACTCCATCTAATAGAATTATAATTTCGCCCATGTACTAATTAAAAGTAAAAACTAATTAATGCCTAAGATAAAAACTTGCTTATAGATGACATTTTATCTTTAAAAATCTTTATTGATGAGCATTTCATCTTTAAAAACAAATAAAGATTAGCATTTCATGCAAAGGTTTTGAAGGGTTGGGTTTTTTTTGGAGCAAGTTTGTTTCTGCCTAGAAAAATTATTTATAAAAAGAAAATTTGATAGCTCTGTCAGCAAAATTGGTGAACATGGATGTTTCTTATGTTGAAATAATTTCCAGTGAAACCATTAAACCATCTTCACCAACACCTTCCCACCTAAAAACATTGGTTCTCCTATAGCTTCATCCGACTCCTGAAATAACTTTTTTTTAAATGTCAATTTGCAGTGCAAGATTTCTCCTTTACTTCGGTCCTTTGCTGCCTTAAATTCAGCTAGCAGATCCCCAATGTATTTGTTATCATCCAACCCAATATACTCCTCTATATGACATCAAAATGCATATTATTATGAAAACAAAAGCAAGGAACTCAGGTAAAACAAATACCATTTCCAATTTCAGGTGATTTAGAACCAGCAACAACCTTCCGACACTCAAACAGACTGAAGCTAGAATATGCCGACAATTTAATAATCCCTGCAAGCTCCTGAAGTAGTAATTCTGTTAAACAATACTCATAAACCACAAGAAAAAATCAATAAAGAACAAAAAGAAGATGCATACTGAAATGTTATAGAAGAGAACAAGAACACAGTAACTATCTACCATTTGAACCCAAAAAGTGTCAATTTTTATAAGTAAATCCATAACTGTTCAAAGCCAAGCACATATGGTTCAAATATCTCAAATGTCAAATCAAAATTTTAGAACACAGGGGGACCAATAACGACATGTATACAGTCAGTGGACTACCACATAACAAATATAGCAACCAAGGAGGCCATTAAAATTACAAAAGCATGTAATACAAACAATATGTATTTTAACAAGTCAAACTTATACAAAATAATCTAAAACTAACACTGTAAAAGGAAATAACTAATCAGGCATAATAAACTCAAATTTTGTATGGGTAGAAGGAATATCTGAAATAACTTACTTCCTACTATCATTTAGACGACTACTAGATCAAATGCATCACATGCAGAGAATGCAACAACTGGTGGTGACGCCCTTGAGCTACTTGAAACGAGCAATGATCTTGTCGAAATGTAGAGTCTCTTGACGCCCATCTCCTTTCACAACATACATCTTTAAAAAGCTCCCAAACTAGATAGATAGTAAAGAATTTTCAGAGAGGACTTTCGTCGAACAGGTTTGGTGCACAATGTGGCTGATACAATCAAATCAATCAACAATCAGATACCCAATTACACACATATACAGACTTCGAATTTCAATTTCCGCCATTAGGGTTTGGAAATCGAACAATCAGATACCTAATTACACACGCACACACATATAGAAATCACTGAAGCTTTATATATATATATAAATAACTTTGAACATAGATCATGAACCAACAAAAATCGAACACAGATTTGGCCCCCATCATTCATCTCGGTGGTTGTAGCAACGGAGGAAGAGCCCTCACATCTCAGATCTACCATAAATCCAACAGATTTGAAGCCTTCATATCTCATATCGTCGTCGTCCGAGAATGGCACGAAGATGGTGAAGACGGTGGTGGTGGTGATGGTGGTGGTGTGCGGTGGATGTGAGGGTGAAGACGATGGCGACCATGGGAGAGGAGTAAAGGGCAGGGAGACCGTCGTCGATCTGGTGTTTGGAGTTTTCAATACCCAAGAGTTGGAGATTATTGGTGACACAAATATATTCCTCATTAATAATATTTTAATTATTGAAAAAAAAAATTTCTCACCAAAACTTTCAAAATTTTGGCACCATAAAAAAAAATTAGTGGGAAAAATTTAGGTGACGAAACTTATTTTTTTTCTCACCTAAAAGTAAATATTTATTGACGGAAATAAATTTCGTCACCTATTATTTTATTTTTTTTATTATACGTGACAAAATTTAATTCCTCATGGATTATTCTTATCAACAATGATTCATCCCACTAAAAACATCACCACTAATAGCACTAATGCATTAAAAAAGTAAAAAAAAAAAAAAATACAACTCCAAGACCAAAACATTACATCATTAATGGCGAGACCCACTGCCACCTAATTAGTGGGAGCACTAATTAGTGCTCCCAAGCATTTTTATTATTCTTATTTAGTGACGAAATTTGTTTTCTTCACTAATTTTTGTCACCATACCAAAACAGAGAATAAGAGAAAGAGACACCAAAAAAAGAGCAAAGAGAAATCATGTACCAAATCATCAAGCGAAGAAGATGTGGCGGTTACCGGCAAGGCTACTACTGGCGGTGACGATCGACAAGACTAATAGAGGCGACGATGGGCGATCGGCGTGGTAGAGGAGCAAGAGGTAAGACAAATTAATACCCTATTTTGAGAGAGAGAGATGATAAACAGAAAAAAGGATAAAAAAAATTAATACCTTTTTTTTTTATTGTCGCTCAAAATATCAAAAATTTTCCACCAAAATTGGTGACAATATTATTTCCTCATCAAAAGATATCAAAAATATTAAAACGTTTTGGTGACGAAAATATATTCATCACAAATAATTTTATAATTAGTGACAAATTTTTTTGTCACCAAAAGTCCCAAAATTTTGGCGCCACCGAAAAAAAATAGCGGGAAAAATTTTAGTGACGAAAATATATTTTTTCACCTATCATTTTTATTTTTTTTATTATATGTGACAAAATTTATAAATTCCTCACGAATTATTTTCATTCAGTGACGAATTTTATTTTCTTCACTAGTTTTCGTCACCATAGGTTACTTTTGTTGTAGTGTACATAATACCAAACGATGACATTCCGGACAAACAAACCCACGCGGAAAACCGTCAGTGGAAAAACAAGGGTGATAGTTGCATTATAGTCCCCTAGCACTAAGGACTTTCAAAATAAGGGTACTAGTTGCATTATAGTCCCCTAGCACCATGGACTCTCAAAACAAGGGTACTAGTTGCATTATAGTCCCCTAGCACTAATGCTTTTCAAGAATGTCATCAAAACAAATATAGTACTTTATACAAAAACTAGGGATAATCATTCATGCTTGATCAAATACTTTTCCAAAACGAAACAAAGTTTTATCAAAACTTTATAACATAGCTTTATTAAAAATACCACTCACATAGCTCTTCAGACGTCGGGGTTAAAGCAAGGGCCCAAGTCCTACAAACACATAATAAAGTCTACTAAATGTACTTCAAGAAAACAGGAAGAGATGCTCAAAGATGGGTATGAAATGCATTCTAAAAACAAGCTTTTCATGAGTGCAAATGATCCCGGTATTTCTTTCAAAACTAGGTCAAGTCAAAGCAAAACATGTTGGAAGTTAAAACACTGTTTTTCATCTCGGGAAAAACATGTTGGGTACCAACTAGGTCTTTGCCAAGGTCCCACACCTCTCGGTCGAGGTGTGGTTACCAAGGCTTCAGCGAACAGCTGTCTGCCGAGATGTTACAAGGTGCCGGCAAGGGTGTACCATGTCGGCCTAGGTGTGCATGCAAGATAGACTAAGGTGCAAGTGATCATGCAAGGTAGGCCAAGGTGAGATACGATGCTTGGCCTAGGTGTGAGATCTAGGCAAGAGTAGTTTCAGTGATCACACCTAGGGAAATGAGGTCTGAAAATCTGGGTTTCTCTCTTGATGAACATGAAGAATATGAAGGACATGAACATGAAGAACATGAATGCTAAAATCATAACTTCTTATTCAAAA